GAAAATACGACACGGCTTATGCCCCATGGGAGGTGATTCGTGGTGTGAATATAATAGGTTCATACTGAAAGGTGACACATATATGCTTAACACAACTCACCTATTGCAATTAGCAATTGCATTAAAAAAGTATTTAGAGATTTCTCTAGTCGTGAACTCTTTTTTACGTGCTTTAACGGTAAAACTTAACATTTCAATGAAACCTTAAATTGTATTTGATTTATAGTTCCAAAAACTTTATTTATACAATTAGGAACTTTAAAAACTATAGTATTTGAAGCTACATTTTTATATAATCAAGGTTTCATTACCAAATTAAAAGTTTTAGATGTATTAAACATTCAAACCCTGGATTTTACAAATGTCGAGCGTTGGAAGAAGTAGATCATGCGCATATTAAGAAAGCAAAATAGGCAGTTTTACAATGAACCAAAGAAGCTAGAACTAAAAACAAACAATTAAAATGTAGACAAGAAGATGATCTTGCATATGATACCAGAAATCCAAGTTGTGGTTCTGGTACGTATTAGTTAATAGTAAATTTTTACTTTAAATCACTATTTCTCAAAAGTGTAAATTTCAACACAAAAGGAACATTTTTGAAAATTCTACTTAATTTATAGCTTTGAAACTTTGCACATATGTTAACACTATACAAATAAATATTTTAATGAGAGATTTTGTTAAAAAAATTATTCAAAAAAATTTTATGGATTAAAATGTACAAGAATTTTTATCGTTTTAATAATTTTGACGTGTTACTCCACATATGAATTTTTTTTAAAAAAACTAATCAAAATTTTGAAAAATGCTCTCATTAAAATAATAAAAACAATACAATAAATCTACACAAAAAAATTCATGACTGTACAACTTGTCAATTTTTCAAAAATGTTCCTTAAATTTGGTCATTTTTAACATTACGGAGATAGGGAAAAGGCTGCGTGAAGTGACCCCCTTAAAAAATTAAGCTAGCACCAGTCTCTCTCTACGTCTGGTCTTTAGTAGCACTAGTATTCAAACCCACGACTCAACAAAAATAAGGCTGACCACGACTTCGTGACCTATCGCTCGGCTACCGTGGTCACTAAAAACTAAAGAATTATACAGAAAAATCATAAACAGTCCTTTTCGGTATTTGGTTAAATCGCTTGTAAAAATCGTCGGACATACGTAAAGCAATTTCTACTGGGTATAATATAATTATTTCTCATCAATTACGCGTGAAGACGTAAGGCTACAGACACATATACTTATAAAATAAGATAAAAATGCAGAGGAAACTGATGTTGTATTGATAATTCTTCTTAAAATACCTTTGAAAGTAATTTTAACGATCTGAAATAACTATTTATTTCTAACGAGGGAGAAAATTTAGAAATTCTTTTGTGCGCCAAATTATTAATAATAAATGTAGCGCAATAAACGTATCTCAACCCTGTCAGTAAAATGCCTTCCCGAAACGATCACATATAATTGCTTCATTACTTTAACCAACTAACTTGCTTAATTTTCTAACTGCTTGCTAGATTTTTAGATTTAAGGTGGTTTGCTAAAATATATTTCGGTTTTTGGCTTGCTTAATAATTCATCTTGAGTTTGAAGCGTTTTAAATTGGTGTTTTTGTTAACGACCATTTTAGTTCTAACCAGGGCCTCTTCTCCGATTAGGCAAGCTAGGCACATGCCTAGGGTGCAAAATATTTGTGGGCGCATGAAGAAAAAATTAAAATTACACAGCGAATGTATCATTACCTAGCGAGTCGTGTATGCGTTGTGTTTGTATGTGCGTACAGAGCGAAAGAGTGGCCAGTGCAGTGGGCAAATACAAAATACTGGTGCAGTATACCGGTTCCCCTTACCTCCTCCCCTTCATGGCTTATCGAATGGCTGCAGTAGCCTAGTGGTCAAGGTCGCGGACTCGGGGTTAGTGAGTCATGAGTTCGAGCATAGGACCCTTGAAGACCCATCGCATAGAGACGGCCGGTGCACGTTAAAAATGTCGAGGCTCAAACGTCATCCCATTGGTGTGGAAGTAACGGGAGGGGTTATAAGATCAGGTGTCATCAAGAGTGTTAATATTTCAAAATGCTTATGAAGGTGGAAAAATAATAACAAGAAAAGTAATATCTCCCGACATCAGAAAAAACAAGTTGGAAAGTACGTTCTCAAATTTAGATGCCGGAATGAAAATTTACTTGACTCTTTCTGAGACAAACTATACACCATAAAGAAGCTTTTCACCTCAGTGACTCAAAAAAGAATAAGGATGTCTAAAAGTAAAAGTTATAGTAAAGCGATAAATGATGAAAATCAACAAGTTGAAAAAACAGTTCATACAATAATGTATACTATACTGCAATTGCAAACGATTCCATTAATTTACTGCACTAATTTACAAAAGGGTGGGTGTTCCGGGATGCTAAACAAGGTAAGAAATTAACAAGAGTGCCCAAACATGCCACCATCCTTACGTATTACGGTCGCCAACCCGAGTCACGACGGGACCATAGGTGGTCGATAATGAAAAGATTTTCTAAAGAGCAAAAACAGAAAACAAAACAAAAAAAGAAGCAACACTATAAGGAAGAAAGAGTAAAGAGAAAATCTCTCCCGAAGCAAGAAATTGGCAAGGTAAGAACAGAAGAGCGGAAGGGGGGGGTATTCTAGAAATAGAAGGGGGAGGCAATCACTTGAATTGCCTAGGACGCTGAGGAGGTTAGAAACAACGCTGGTTCCAACACTATGCATCGTATATTTTCCAATTTTTAAATTCTTTCATAAAGGTCTGACTAATTTGCATGAAATAAAAACATTTTAAAATACATAAAATTTAATTTAAATTTTACTCTTACTTAAGAGTAATTAATTTTACTTTATTAATATAATTTTGCATCGGCAAAATTTTAGTATGCGCACCATCCCATTCCAGCACGTAATGAAGACATTCGTAGGGCACTCCAAAAAAGGTAGCTACTAGTGCGCTACTAGGCCCATTAGACTGCACGAGCAATGGTTGTTGCAACGACAGAGCTTTCCTACAAATAATTTCCTCCTCAATTTTTCCCTCTGGAGGGCAGATGGAACCCCAATGTGTGAATTTTTTGAGCTTGTGTTCCAAAAACGTAGAGCGGGTTGTCGTTAACTCCGTATTAAAATAGTTCCAGCTCAAACAGTAGTGTTTTTTTCTGTAGACAATAACATAACCACATTTTGTGACGGTTCTACCCACAAACTTTCAACTAATCCTCTTGGGGTAAATTTATTTATTTTTAACTGTAAGCTCTATTGAAAACTTCCTCCCGAAGATTTGATTTATTCAAATGATTTGTTACATTTAAGCGTAGACATTTAGGTACGTGAAGTTAGTCGAATGATTGTCCCTGGATGTTCAATTATTAATAAATTGAGAATAAGTTATACTATTGGCTTATAAGAATTACGACCTTAGATCGTAGAAGTAAGAGATTTACATTAAAGCCTAGAGTAGAAGTTCAGAGCGCTCCAAGAGTAAGTGAAGTATCACTCATATGTTAAGTATCCTTAAGCCATGTGTGATTACTCTTCTAATTAGTTGCGTAGTGCATTTCCAACCTTAAGTTGTTTCGTTTAGGTAAGTGGGATAATAAATTTGAATTTGAAACTGGTTATGGCTGATCTTTACTCAAACCCCCAAACACCAACAACCGTTACCAGATTGTTTCAACATCTACTCTCAAATATGAGTACTTTTTCAGTTAATCTGCTTTTATTAATGCATACTTGATTCACTAAAAATGATCCAGATGATGTCTACACTTTGTGTCGATTGTAAATCCCAATAACATCACACATCATTATTATTTTCATATAAAAGTGCATGCAGTAGTGAATAGCTCTTTTGCTTTTTAATTCCGCGATATACATATTTTACTTCCATGGAATTTTTTGTCCTAGTTTTCACTACTGTTGCTCATTTGATTTATTCTTTAGTATATGCTAGGCATTATGAATAGAAATTTCCACACTGCGCATCAACCCGAATCATATATCTCTTTTTAATGCGTTTTTCCTTCGAAACCCACTAGGACCATTGTATTCGAATAGTCATGGTCACGAACTCGTGGCCAGCTTTTCCGTGTCCTAGTGCCAGTGAAGACTCATCGTGTAGAAAGGCTAGTGCCGGTTAAATCTGTCGAGTACGAAAGTCTCCCTTTGATGTAGCATGGGCGTTTGAAGAAGGGGACTGCCAACTTCAAGTACCATTCGTGTCCCTTGACAGTGCTTGAAAATTATATAGCCCACTGTCAATAGCTCTTGTGAGGCTTCACAATTCGGGGGACGCAAAATAAAATTAAATCACATCTGTAGCGAACGTCTTAAGCACCCCAGTATATTCAACACTTAAAATACCTAAATGATAATTTCCGTATGTATCATACTATTGAAGATAACATTATGTTTCATCCCAATTTCCTGTTTATTAAGATGAATAATACATGGGTACGATCATATGGTTGATGATAAAGGATTGTAAAGGAAAATAGGTGGTTAGGTTTCCTTTTTATTTAGAAAACTGAGAAGAGAAGATTCAAATTTAATAGAACAATATGCTTCGATTCGTTCTCTGTAGCTCTTTTTTCAATTCCTACTATTAGTCCACATCTTCCTATGAGAGTGTGAGTGAATATTAACGTCCCACTGTTCAGCTACACGAGGGCTTTCGGGGACGGTCCGCGTAATTTTGAACCATGGTCAAATGACGCGGACGACACCTCAGCTGGCACACCCCTCTCCTAACTACTCACATCTTCCTATATATATTTATTTATATATATACACTAATTTTCAATCGTTAATAAAATAATTTTATTCATCCACTCAAGTTAATATACATTTCTTAAACTTGCAGTGGGTGATACTTGTTAATACAGTTTTTTCAAACATTCATTCATTAATGAATAAATAATAACAAAAATAACAGTCCAACGCCATATACAAAAAATGAAAAGCATTTGTTATGTCTCTGCAGCGCAATGGATAGCGCGTTGAACTTCTTATCCAAAAATCGTGGGTACGAATTCCACCTGAGATCGCCCTACTTCTGAGAATGTGATATCTTTTTTACGATACTATTTTATTGGAATAATTATTAATAATCAAGGAATCAATAAAAAGTAGTTGTCCAACTCCACATATATATAGAAAGGAAAATGGAAGAATGCGAGGAAAATCACTTTCTATTTTGCCACTTACTATTGTGATTCTGTCATATGTATATACATATTTTATTATAATTGCAAATATTTATTAAAATATAACTTAAATGAAGTTTTTCTTTGTGGGCCTATGGGAATCGACTTAATTTTTTTTTATATTACGTATTTATTATTTGAATAGGCCATCTATACAGACGAACTTCTTCCTAGAACCAATTTATTAAATGTTATCATCTGTTTGTGAAAGATGGCAAAATAACTCGAAATAGAAACGGTGATTTCTCGCTCCATATTTCAATACATGGGTTGATATACCTCCCCATGGCAGAACAATAAAAAATGAACTATATCCTGTTTTTGTCTTGTTTTGCTTGCAAAAACAAACTATGAAATGGCGACTGGAAAAATAAAACACACACACACAAAAATACCACGAAAACAAACAAAAACCATTCTTATTCGTACAAATGTGCTCCTGATGCAGAGGTGTGTATGGGTTCCTTTTCAAATCCCCCCCCCCCAACCCAAGGAGCCACACTTATTGAATATTAACTTTTCTCCGTATTATCGTAGTCTGAGGGGGAAAAAAACTTTTTACACGTTGAGGTGCACGATTTTATTTTCTCGGTTTCCGAATAAATAGTTGTTTCTCAAAATACATTTATATTTGAACAAATAATCCGTTCGATTACATTTTGAAAATTGAAATGGTTTCCTTTTATTTTTATGATAACGCTTAAATAATAAATCAGCGCGGCTGTAGAAAGATCTTATAAAATTGTATTCACACTTTTAGATAAACATAATCCCTGATTCATCTTACGTCCTTTTTATACTTTCAGAGATTTAGATTTCAACTAAAAAAGATTGACAAAACAAACTGTTACAGATACAATCAGTTTTAATAAAATGGACTTAATTTTAATATATATTTTTCTTAAAATAAATGGTACATTTGATAACACAATTCAGAATTCAAAAATAGTTGTTACGCATTTATATGAATACAAACAAAATGGACCACTTTTTATTTTCTAAAATAATTAAAATATATTGCTTTAAGAATTGCTACTAATTTTGATACATTTTTTCAGATTACAATTTGTATCTATTGGAGAAAATCATTCACATCTGGATTGTTTCTTACACAACTTATAAAAATTGCATAAAAGTAGGTATTTCACACAGCTTTTAGCGGTCGCGGTGGACTAATGGATGTGGTCATGAACTGTTGATTGGTGTGTCTTGAGTTCATGTCTTGCCACCACTAAGGTTCTAGAGTGCCCTTAACATCTTAATAAACAGTCAATAGTTTTGCCCACTAATCTCAGAAAGAGAATAAAGATGAATAATTTTGTTAAAGTTGGTTAAGATCTCATTCCTTTTCATCTCCATTTCCTTTTTCAAAAGAGCTTGCATGTTATTTCCCTAAACACTATGACATTTGACCCTTTAAGAGGATATTTATTTATTTTTTATTTATTTTTGCCCAAAATTTTTCAAAAGAGCATATATTTTTTATTGAATGAATCTAACCATAATGCTTCTGTTTGTAAATAATACATCACCAGGAAGGAATCAACAGAATTAAATTAACTTTGCAGCAAATATCAATTATATGATGTTACGTAACATTATAAAGTGTCAGAGGAACCGCGCATGCGTGTCGTGTTCAGCGCTCTCTGAAGTGATGCTGAAAGCAATTAAAATGAGAACTGTAGTGGGACGTTGAAAATAGTTAATGATTATTTGTTAGTGGCGAACGTTTAGTGAGACCAAGGTATGCCTCCACGACAAAATAAGGTGAAATTCCAACAACTTATGGAGTTGGAACTGGGGAGGATTATCAGCCTTCGAGAAGGAGGATTTCCCCATCGCTAATTAAGAGCTCATGTGAAGCGGAACAGTTCTACAGTGATGCGAGTTTGGAAGCAGTGGACCGATGTGCACTTAACAACTCGAAAAGCTGGCAGTGGACGATGGAAGGTGACGTCAGCGCGTGACGATCGACACCTGGTCCGCATGGTGGTGAATGACCATACAGCTTCCACCAGGCAATTGGCAGCACGTTGGTTTACTGCTACAGTTGAAGTAGTGCCGGCTTCGTCAATTTGTCGAAGTGTGCTGCACCGTGGATTGCTTGCAAGGGTGTCTTTATACAAGATCCCCCTTCACGGCAAAGCATAGACGGTTGCATTTGCAATGGGCTCAAGAACACAGAGCCTGGAAAGCTGATTGGCACCAAGTTGTCTTTTCAGATGAACCACTCCTCAATTTGAGGGACCGTGATGGCCACATTCGTGCTAGACGTTATGCTGGTGAACTCTGCCCTTCAGAGTGCGTTATCCAACGACATATTGGCCTAACACCCAGAATTATGGTTTGGGATGCGATTTCGTAACATAGAAAATCCAATTTGCTACGAATTGAGGGTAATCTGAATAGCAACAGCTACGTCCGTGAAGTTCTACAGCTCGAAGTCGTTCTCTTTCTTCAAGGCATCCCTGGAGTTATCTTTCAGCAAGATGAAGAACGCCTACCTGCAGAGACTGTTTGAGACTTTTGTTCAGCACAACACATGCAACTTCTTCCTTGGCCTTCTTATTCGCCGGATATGTAGCCTTGTGAGCATGTAAGGGATTTGGTTGGTTGGCGTCTAGCTCGTGATCCACGTCCTGCAGCTTCAAAAGACGAACTTTTGCTGCGCATACAAGCAATATGGAATTTTTTTTTCCACAAGCTGACATTCACAATCTGCTTGATTCCATGCCACGTCGTATTGCAGCGCGTGGTGTCTATACCAAACCTGAATTTGGACACTTAATATTGTCCAAAATTTCTTAATTTTCTTCCTTTTCTTAAAATTTCGTCATTTATTTTTATTAATAGAAGTCGTTTGTGCATTAAATTTCATTTAATTCTGATAATTCCTTCATGGTGTGGCATTGTTTACAAACAGCAGTTTACTTAACACATTTCGAAAATGAAAGAATTTTAATTAATTTTCAATTTTAAAGTTATTACATTTTTTATATTATAATTGTGTGAAATACAAAACCCCCTGATTATTTTCTTTTTATCAGCTGTGATGGATCTATACGCGTCCTTAATTACTAATCCTCTTGGGGAAACTTTGGGGCAGCATTCGCGTTAATTCACAGCCTCTCAAGAAGAAACCCTGATATTTAAATTAGTTTGACTCTATAAAGTATAGGTTTTGTAGATGTAAGATAGAAGGAGCCGGAGAGCTGTTGCGGTGATTCGTAGGTGAGAGTATTAGAATATTTCATTGAGTATTTCACAAATATAGCGTGAGTTAAGGAAGGAGTTGCTAAGATAATAAATTATTAGATTAAGAATCTAAGATAAATTGAATTAGATTTAGTAATCAGATCACTAGTGCTTGTTCACTTTATCTAGTTCACTTAGTCGTGTTTAATTAGAGTTGTTCATTGAAAATAGATTGTTCGCGCTTTATATATCACTTCTAAAGTTTCCTTTCGTAGTTTCACATGTGATTGATTAAGTGTGTTTGAAGAGTAATAAAATAATAGTTACTATGGAAGTTGTTGGTGATGCTTTGTTTCCCCCACACACTTAGGTTGGCAAGACAGTGAAGGAGCGATGCCAAATAGGTCGCGCTCACAAAGTACACATATAAAAAGAATGTTCCATACGTCTAAGAGAATTTCTCTCACACTTTCAGAAAAATTCCAATGTTTGAAGCTCTTTTTCAATCGATTGAGGATTGTGTGTGTACATATATTTATGCATACTCAATTTGAATCATAGTGTAATACAGTCTTACATTGCAGTGGGGACATCTCTCCATTATATTACTTCTTCATTTTCATTTCTTCTCCAGCAACAAATTTTGAATTGCCGTGACAATCCCTGTTCTTTATCGAATATTATGAATAAACTAAATTCCTGCCTTTAATGAAAAATTCCCGCCTTCACCACAAAGAAAATCTCGGATGAGAAGAATTTCAGTGCCATGGATAAACTGCATGTGTAAAAACACCAGCACTAATAATCTCTTTATAAGGAAATATGTACAAATCAAAGATAGAAAGAAGAAATACAGCACCGTATTTATCCTTACAGCATACCGATTGTGGGCAGCTTTCGTTAACACGTACAATGTACGTGCAAACTAGTGAAGAGATTGAAGATTCCCCTTTGTAGAAAGGTGTGAGGCACACTAAAACTATTGGGGCTCAAAATCTTCCTGTTGAGAAGGAGTGGTTGCTTAGAGAGGGATTGCCAACTCAGGTATCGAACTCATTACTTGAAGAACTTCAATATAACGAATTGCGTCACCGATAGCGCTCGCGTTATTTTATAGTGCGCAGTTTTAAGAGCCTCTCTCCGCATATCTTTTAAAATGCAAAGAAAAATAACATTAATACAACGAGTAAGAAGTTTCTTTAGCTATTAAGGTTTATTTCTTTTTAATGTTTCCTCATTCTTTCCAATTTTAAACAAAAATCTTTGATTTTATGGTTTTTACAATTTTTTCCCTTGTAACCTATGTATTTGCAATACGTAAGACAGAATATATGCTCAAAATATCACAAAAAGCAATCCATTTAATTTTTTTAAAAAAAAATATTTTAAAAATTTTGAGGTAATTTTAAAACGCTACTCCTCGTACAATAATTGACTTACTCACAGGAAGTTTGATTTACATATTTGTCAAACCATGTACAACAAAAGTTGGTATGAGTTTGGGGATAACATGATTCAAATTCCTAAAAAAAAAAATTATGAATTATTATGAAAACTCTCTAAAAAACGTATAAATTTTGAGTTCAAATTTTTTTTAAAAAATAAGTATTGCGTTGATTCAAAAATGCATACCAACTTTTGTTAC